CTTATTCTTTATATGCTTCTTGCATTGTGTATTGGATCTATATTTTCTGGCCTGGGGCATTCTTTGTCCTCAGTTGTGGTGAGTAAATCGTTTGCTCATGATTAAAAATATCTGGTCTCATGTTTTGTTCATTTAGGACCTAGGGGTGCAACCAGGATCAAACATTGGGAGGGGGTAAATTACTTTACTTCAAAAAATACAAGAGCCTATTAAGTATTTAAACTCTTTCTTCTTTTTTGGAGCGGGGGTGGGGGGCAAGGTTAATCTGTCTAATATTCAAACTTACAGGCACCTAAATTGCCATTAGACCAAAAAATTCGGGCTCCTCCCGCTAGTGCTTTGTTCCGCCACTGTGTTCATTATTAAAAAAGCTTTTATACAGGATGCACGTATCTATAGTTATTATAGTTGCATCTTGTTTACTGTATATAGGATATTTCTTCTTACTGTTATAGGGTTTCTTCTTACTTTGCTATAGGCTTTTAAGTAAGTGGCTGATACTTTTGATCTGCACGGTTCGACTTCTGCTACTCTCTTCTGTGAACTTGGAATTTTCTCAAGTGACCTTAAATGATTTTAAAACTATCATTCTTCTGGTACCAGACATTTTGTCGATTGACTTCATCCATTGACGATAGTAGACATGCATTGGATGGGCATGTTTGTAGCAAATTTGAGTAGAAACCTTTTGTGATAAGCAAATAGAAAATGTAGTTTTTGATATGCAATAGTTCATCATGATAATTCATGCCCTTCCTCTTTGATGAATGGATGACTGCTTACTCTGGTATTCTTTTTAAAATTTGACATTTTGGATTTGTATTATGAAACTGATTCACTTATTATTATTATTTGAAAAGTGTAGCTGATTCACATATGAATCATGGGTGCATTTCTTACTTTAATCTCTTCTTATTGCAGGCGAGAGTCGCTGCAATTTTTGTATTTGTATCATTCACTTCACTTTTAAGCATTGCTGGAGTACCTGCGCTAATTAAAGAAATCAAGGTGATCTTTTTCTTCATCACCTTGTCTTTTTTGGCTTGAATGTAATGGCTATTTGAAGTTCCGGTCCAAGAAGAAGCTCTCCAATTGGAATACCCCGTCTCCTATCTTAACCAAAAAATTGTGCTTTTTTTTTTTGCAGATATATGTAAGTGAGGAGTCAAACCAACATTCAGGAGCTTTAGTCTTTCTGTTTGGGCAACTACTCTCAAGCATTCCCTTCCTATTCCTCATCTCAATATCTCGTCTTCTATTTCTTTATATGGTTACAAGATGAATTCGGTTTGTTGATGTACTTTGTGCTGAATTTCTTTATGTGCCTAATGAAGGGTTGATGCTGGCTGTTGCCTCTTTGTGGAAAAATGTTTTCCGGAGTGTCTTAACGCTTGTAACCATACATGTGAGTTTTCACTATTTGAAAGACAATAATTTTTTGTACAAATTCATAAATATTTTTGTTTCCAGTCTTGAGCTTTACTAAGCCTTTGCCTTGCGAATCTTGTGATCAAAATGCATCATGTTTCAGGTGTTACTGATGCTTGCAGCGGGCTATTTCAGAATCCGAAATGAGTTGCCTGGAACCGTGTGGACATATCCGTTGTCGTACATAGTTTTCCACTCTTACTCTATCCAGGTGTGTGCGTGTTTATGGCATTAGTTTGTTTATTCTTTACCAGAAACCACCTAGCATCTTGTTATCTTCTTTACATCAAAATACATTTGCTCGTACTCGGATTCCGTATGCATTGGTGAATCCATTCCAGGCAATCTTATCATTTCTGAAAGAATCTTTAGAACTTGTGACCTATGTTTCTGCCGTAGGGGCTTTTGGAGAACGAGTATCCAGGAGTGAATTTTGCAATTGGACAGGTGAGGACAATATCGGGTTTTCAAGCACTCCATAGTGCTTACGATATCTCTCCTAGCAGTAGCTCCAAGTTGGAGCTGGATATAGAATTCTTGTGTTTGTTATGCTACATTTTCATGCAAGGAAAAATGTATCCCTACATAGAATTTGCGAGTGTAGTCGTGATTCGATGACCTGAGATTAATGGAAGTGGTGCTATATCTTTGGCAGCCATTCAAATGGTATAATATTGTCTCAATCACAGTTGCAGAATTAATCCATCTTTGGCTTTAATCACGTTCTTTTCTTGTTCGTCTCTTTTGCTCCCTTTCCCATGTCTCGGAAAAATCCACAAGTATAAGCATCGACAAAATCTTCTTTTTAGTTCTCTTGAATCTATTTTTTGATGGAGTCTGCCTCCAGTCACGTGGGTTACTGTGCTGCATGAATGCCACAGTATAGGTGAACGTATAGATAAAACAAGTTTTATTGTTTGTTTTTTTTTGTGAGGCAAAAGGGCTACCCATTCAATAACAGTGAATGACTAGGTGGAATTCGAGACAACCTTAGCAGGCTTTTAAATCTGAATTACGGTTTAAAAGAAGGAATTAATTCAAACCATCAGATTATTGTATGTTGTGGCATGCAAGGCCTCAAAGACAATAATTGTAAGTTGCTGTCTATGCTTGGATAACAACACGGCATGAACAAGGTAGTTGCTATGTTAAAGCAGAAAAATAGGATAGTTGAAACCCTTTTCCAAATCACACCATTCAACAACTGTAACTGATCATCAGTAAGCCAGGATTCTCCCTTCTTACTGCAGCCACAAAAGATTTAGGTGGTATTTGTTTTTGCAGAGGTAAAAGGTCTGCAATCTGCGGACATCTGCAGCAGAAGATGTGGACCAAAAGTCTGCAGTCTGTAAGAAGAAGACTGTTTGTTTTTTAACGTCTGCAGACTGCTAAAATGAACTGAAATATAAATAAACTGATTTAAAATAAATCAATCCATATTTTAAAATAAATCAATCCATATTTTAAAATAAATCAATCTATACTAATAAATTATTTAAAATAAATCAATCCATATTTTAAAATAAATCAATCTATACTAATAAATTATTTAAAATAAATCAATCCATATTTTAAAATAAATCAATCCATACTAATAAATTATTTAAAATAAATCAATCCATATTTTAAAATAAATCAATTCATACTAATAAATTATTTAAAATAAATCAATCTATACAACTACAATAATAAATCAATCCATATTTTAAAATAAATAAATCCATACTAATAAATTATTTAAAACAAATCAATCCATATTTTAAAATAAATCAATTTATACTAATAAATTATTTAAAATAAATCAATCCATATTTTAAAATAAATCAATCCGTATTTTAAAATAAATCAATCTATACTAATAAATTATTTAAAATAAATCAATCCATATTTTAAAATAAATCAATCCATACTAATAAATTATTTAAAATAAATCAATCCATATTTTAAAATAAATCAATTCATACTAATAAATTATTTAAAATAAATCAATCCATACTAATAAATTATTTAAAATAAATCAATCCATATTTTAAAATAAATCAATTCATACTAATAAATTATTTAAAATAAATTATTTTAAAATAAATAAATCCATATTTTATAATAATTTATTTTAAAGTAAATTATTTTATAATAAATTATTTTAAAATAAATTATTTTATCATAAATTATTTTAAAATAAATTATTTTAAAATAAATAATCTTATTAAATTATTTAAAATTATTTTAATAAATAACTATATTTTATAATTATTCTTGAAGAGGTTTGAAGACCTTTGAAAACATAAAATCAAGTCTACACCAAGAAGAGCTCGCGCAGACGTTTAAAGAGCTTCTGTCTTCAAAAAAACAAATAGTCTGCGAAGCCTAATGTCTGCGCGTGGTGCGCGACGCAGACATAAGTGGTTTGAAGAGCTTGCACAGTGAAAACAAACACCATCTTAGTGTGCGAAAGATATTCATTAAAACAGGCGAGTTCATTGTATAGAGCCATCGAAGAAAAAGAGAGAGAAAGAACTTGCATAAGGTGATTCCTGAACTTGTCTTTCCCGTATTTTGTAATTTACTTTTCATATAACAAAGTAGCAATAGTATGAAAGCTTTCAACAAGGTGAGGGCAACATGAAACATTGGCTTCTTATTGCAGACGTACAGTCCTACTGACAGTTGTGTCCCCTTTTATATTTATATCTATTAGGTGTAAAACTTGAGCACAAGAACTGGGATGTGCCTGGCCCTGTGTACGTTCCAGGAAATGCTACATATTGCTCATCCACATCCCGTCTTAGATAAATACAAAAAAAAGGACAATAACAAAGAATTAAAGGCTCTTCGTACTTCCACATCAGGAAAAACGACGAAATTGATTCTCCTACCCCTCCTAATAAGGACACAAAAAGTAAAAGGCGTGAATTCAAAATTCCTCTTTACGTTATTCTATGCTTAATTATTCATTTGCTGTGTCAATACTTACAGTGAGCCAAGATTTTGCATAGTCGAAAAGATCATAATTGTACAATCCTGACTATTCTCATTTCTCGGAAACTAAAAAATAATGCTTCATCTGTGTTGGCAACCAACATGTACATTTATTGCTACTTACAGCAGTAGTAGCCTAGTACTATTCAAACTTTTATATCAGATGTGCGCCATTGCTTACCAAGCAAGTTTTATGGTGATATCAAAGAAACCAAATACCCTCAAATAGTTCCAACACATTGAATGGGGTGAAGGGTAGATGTGTTCATTATTACCAGGTCTTTTAAAAAGGAAGAATCTTTGATGTCAAGCATGTATTCAAATCTATGATTCCCTAACCCTAAATCATCATTTTTTGTAAAGCATTCTGCTCCCCTTCTCCTTTGGGGTTACACAGAGATAAAAGGCTAGTAAATAGCACCAATGTCCACATCCTTGGGTCATTTTTATTTATGCCATGGCACCAGTCTGCGTTTTAATCGTCACACCAAAAGTAGATTGTCCCAGCTGTGCAAAAATATAACATGACATGCCTTATAAACCCCACTTTACAAAAGGTTATATGGAACGAGCTTCCAATGACGTTAACGGAAGGGTGAATAAAAACCTATGATATCTACAGCCCAAAACAATTGATAAAAGGCGTCACCTTTGGTTTCAGAGACAATTCTGCGAACCTTTAGAATGCATCCTTGGCACTGGCATTTCAATTGCACCTTCAAATCCGCCGTCGTTAACAGGGCCTGATCAAACAAAAAAGAAGATAATTTGTTTTACTTAAACAGCATGAAGGTAATTAATTTTTTGGCATGGATGTTGATTTGAAAGCACTTCAAAATTACCTCTTTGGGTCTTCTCTCTTGTTTATTATCGTAGCCCTGGTTTTTGTTTTCGTCAGGTTTTTTCTCTTCTTATCATCTTTCTTAAGTTGAGGAACGACATCAACCTTCTTCTTGGACTTCTTCGCAATGTTGTCTTTAATGGCTGTTGGGTCCACAGATCCTATCACTGTCACTCTGTTTGCGTTTCTATCCGTTTTCACTGTCTCCACTCCTGCAAAAAAAAAAACAGAGGACGAGGGGAAAAAAATTAAAACCCATTAACAAAGTGGAAACGTTCATAACTTTAAAAAGACATGTGTACCTTGTAATTCACGAACACATTTAAGGATTCTGGAAGCACAGTCATCACAAAGACAATCAACTTTGAAAATAACAGTCAAGGAACCATTTTCCTTCTTTTGTTCGTCTCTTCCAGCTTTCTGGTTTCCATTGTTTTTGTGCAACGTAGACAAAGAAGGCATAAAATATCATGAACCAACAGAGAAAGAGAAACGAGGGATGATGTAATTGGTAATAAACCTCTCCCATAGTGAGTAAAAACGTGGGGTGGAAACGAAGAGTCGGGGGAAGTTGGAGTGTGTATATATATAGGGAGGAGATGTAAAATGTTGATAATGCATGTATGTATGCATCAATGCATGGATGGATGGGCTTGAACTTTAAAAGCCTGAAACGAGAACTGTAAGTTGTTGGCTAGGCTTGGCTGTTTCCTTCTCTCTGTCCATTTATGATTTATGCAGGCAGCTGTTTATAACAGTCATTTACTCCACCACGCCTACCTCAATGTACGACCCTTCGTACCCTTCATTTATTTTTAATTTCTGTTTTTTTTTTTGTTGCCTACCACTTGAGTAGCAACTAACTTCAATCTTACAAAACTTTTTATATATGCTTGGTGTGTATAAACCGGGCTGAGCGATCTTGTAAAAACCGGGCTGCAGCTTTTAGGGGAGTAATATGAAATTTAACTGGGCTTCCATTAAAATCTACGAGCTTACCCTAACTACAAGCTTACCCAAGGCTGAGCGATCTTGTACATGGAGCATCAAATATTTGATGATTAGTTACTTAAAGAGTTTAAGCATAAAACTTTTGGAAATCTTATCAAATTATCATCCATATCGACTCAAGTTGGGTGATATGTATCTTATCGCAAATTCAATCCATAAGCAAGTTGTATCATAAATCATTTCTATGGATAATATCAACCACTTCTATTTTGGCCACATGGATATAAAGTCAACAACAATTGTTAAATACCATTATCAATTATAAAAAATTAATGAGTACATTAGAGTGTTGCTAAAATTTTAGTTATTGTGGGTATAAAAATCTAGAATGCAAAAGAAAAAAGATATGGGTACCACTAGAGCTACTTATACAAGAAAAGGACGGCACCCAAATATTTAATATAGATATGCCCAACCTACGCCTTGGGTTCCCACAAATTCACAAACTACATTGACATGAATCATATAATAGAGGTACTGATTACATAATTTAACCAAAAAAATTAAATTAAAACAGGTACACGAGCAGATAAGATAACCCCTTGGGATTCTTTGATATAATTCAAACATCTAGAGGATAAAAATTTAAGATTCTTTTTTTCTTAATTATCGATTATAATGACATAAAATAATAGATGCTTTTATTATAAATTTTGTGTTGTGGTTTTATTAAACATTGAAATGAGTTCTATTAAAGAATAATCTATGTATTATGCCAGGTTCACAAAATGAAGCCACGAGGCACCGTTCCCATTCAAGTGCACTGGAAGATGTGATATGCACGTGGCATTTCGTGATTGGAAAAACCCAAATGCCCACGTGCTCTCATGGATGTGCATCACGTGGCCTTGGAGGAATCCCCTGGTCCTGACCCCATTTGCTTCACTGAACAGACATAAATATAGTTTGCCTCACATAAAAACATTAAATAATGGAGGACTGTCTTTTCATATCTTTATCCACGACTCTATTTTATGGCTAACCAAGAATAAATCAAATTTATGCTAAAAGAAAGCAAAAAAAAAAAAAAAAATCAAATTCTCCACTATATTTGAAGTCATGGTTTAGATGCATGTCGGAATCACAGAAGTTTGATTTATTGTGGAGTGCGTTTACCTATTAACCCAGGTTTTTGAGTCGCAAAGCTACTCGTGTGAATACGATTTACTTTCTCTTTTTCTCTCTCTTGGAGCCTCCCAACTTGTGTTATAAATAGAGTTGATAAGTTTTGTTAGATGGGGTGTGGGTGTTGTCAATGTTATTGAAGCAACCGAGTCATGTAGCTTTTGTCTGCATTTGCACCTGCACCTTCATGTTTTTTATGGGCTTCAGCTTTAGAAACTAATATACGGAACATGTGATTGCGCAGTTAATGAAAATAGGATAAGACCAAGACAAGGAGGTGCAAGTGCAGGTGCAGGTGAAAGCAATTTTGGCCTCCTTTTCTAATGAACATCATATCATATCCCAATCCATTCCATGATTAATTGCAAGCTTCAGGTTCAAGTGGATGTTTCCTGTTTACTTTTCAACTTCTTGTGTTATATTATGGCGAGGGCTTCCAGTTTCAGGTGCTACGATGTGGCTGCTAATGACGCTTTGAAGAGGTTTCGTTACTCGTCGCTAGGGCTTCTCAAGGTAACAAGATTATTCTCTCCTTCTATACACATGTCTCTTTCCTTTCTATAACGGCAAACGTTTGGTTTTAATATTGGAGAATGAATCAAAAGCTTGATTTTCTGATACGAGGGTGACTTAAGATTAGGTTTGAGCATACTATTATTTCTTTCCGGAAAACATCAAATTCCGCATCTTGTCTTAAATCATTTCTCCAGTTCAGATTGGCGAGGACAGCGGGTCAGATTGTGTTTCTTCTTATGTGGAGGGCCAAAAGCTAAAGAACCCTTGACAAGACATCACTGTAACTTTTTTCTTCTCCTTTTAAGGACGGATCGAATTCAGTCAAACTATCTTTGAAGTTCTACAAAAATTGCTCGACTTTTTTTTTCTCTTGGAAGCGCCTTCAACAATCTTGCAGCCGTTGCCCTTTTGTGTCTCTCTCAGCTTTACCGCGTAAGTTAAGTTGTCACTTTCTCGGGGACTAATAAACCTTTAAGATGAGCATTTTGCACCAACATTTCTAAGTATTACAGTATTTTTTTTCTCAGCTTCTACGACTTAACAAAACAAAAGTTTTTCTCAGCTTATTTTTTTAAAACACGATATCTAAATTAATGAAAGATTTCTGCAAACAATTTTGATTGCTGCAAAGATTTTCTAAGGCCAACTTGGGTGGGACAGTTTGATGTAGCAATTTATATAACTGCTGCTTCTGTAAAGAAAATCAATTTCTTATCCAAAATAAAGCACCTACGCGTTTTGATGTTTTGTTATCATCGATTGCATGCAGGGGTGAAGTTAGGGGTGTTGGGTTAGTCACACTCTATAATCTCATGTTTCTAAAATTTTAATATAATTTTTTATGTAAGGTTATGTTCGTACCTTACATAAATTCTTTTGTTCGTTTCTTAATTGCATGTTATGATCAGTGAAACAAAACCCATGCGTCGGGAAAATTTCACAACTTTTTCTCATGCATTATACAACTTTACCACAAGTTTATCAGGAACATCTGTGTAAAGAATCTGAATTTGGCTTTGTTTAGGTTCCCGTAACAAGTGAATTTAGGAGGGCGTTTTAAAGGCGAAGAGATTTTCTCAAGTTATATATAGTCCAATACACGATCATATACCATATTGACGCATATGTGAGCAATCACCGCCACTGTCACGTGTCACTATTTGATTGACACCATTAACACATGATACTATTTGATTAAAAGATTATGTTTTTTTAATTTATTAAAATTAAGATCAAATTGATAGAATATATAAATAATAGTGACTAAATGTTTAATTATACCAAATACTTTAATTAACATATTAGCCAAAATGTTATATTATTTATAATTTCCAAGTTGATGATTGTTTTATGCGGATGGTATCAGATTACACGAATAATGTGTTATTTCTTGGAAGTTGGAACATACAATCAAGGATCCCTATCTTCTACATTATCCCATTTTGGAAGGAAAAAAAATGTTAAAGCCCACCCAAAACAAAAAGAAAAACCCAGAAACCCCAGCAGAATGAGGAAAAGCCCTTGCTGGGCAAGAAACATGGAAAGTCTCGTGAAACAGACGACTGTTTAGACCGTATTCAGGGTTTTATATGAATACTTGCAGACATTGTTGGCCATGCTCTGGAGGGTTTTAAATTTTTTGGAGACAATGGCATCAGCCGTGATCGCCCAAGTCGATGCATTAAGTAAATAAATAGAGTGGGGACTGGGGAAAGTAGAGAAACTTCAACGCCATCCAGGGAATTGGATTTAGTTGTAGACATCAACTTGAAAAACAAATGTTGTCACAATTTTCAAACCGAGTTGGTTACTTTTGACAAAATTGGGATTGATTCTTTCCCCTTCCCTCTAATATTTAATCATCTGGGTTCTAATTTTAAAACCAACTTTCAAGGTTACATCCCAAAATTAATTTGAACAGAAGCTGACAAAAAAAGTAATATTAACAACTATGAGCGGGTATCATTAGCGTTTGACCTTCACTGGAAAGACAGTCCTAAAGGTGCTTTCCACACCCCTTAAAAACTAAACTAATTTATTAAGGCAAATAATACCCTACAAGTACAGATTGCAGATGGGAACAAGGTTCGTTTATTTTCCTTGAGAAGACAAGTTGGATCTCATGGAACAGTGATGCAGCCTGACAGAGATCTTGTGATCGTGCCGTTCTGGAGCCCTGTGGACTGTTTGGATTCCTTATACTCCTAATATATAAACTTCAGATCTAACACTCATAGTAGTAAAGCGCGCCTCCTACTCCGCGTTATATGTTGATTTGGCGCCACGTGGGGTATAGCGCGCCCCCTGTACTGCGCTAAACGCTGACATGAGTTACACGTGTGTATAGCGCACCCCCTGATCCACGCTATACGCCACATAAGGGTATAGCGCGGATTACCTGGTTATATGACACGTTGGGTATAGCGCGGTACATGGGGCGGGCTATACCTTTAATTACCCACTCGTTCACACCCCAATCCTCCCTATAAATACCTCCATCCTCAATCATTTTCATCACACCAAATTCTCTCAAATTTTCTCAATTTCTCTCAAATACTATATCTGTTTAAGGTATATTTTATAATATTTTTAATATTATGTATTTAATTTATTTAAGTATTTTACTTTATTTAATATTTTACTGATATAATTTTTTTGCAGATATATAATGGAAGATAGTCTACTTCGCTTGGATGGAAATCATATATCTCGACACTTTGCTGATACGGTAACATTTTAACGTTTTAATTTAATTTAAATTATTAGTAATAATTAGTTGATTTATTT